AAGCATGGTTACAATTTATGAAACTTTTTAGGAAGGAAGTTTGCAAATATTTGCAGTCAAACCAGATGGATAGTGGTAAGATACATAAATATTTTAGACTAATGATTTAATGATAAAAAATGCAAAATGAATTGACTCAATATAGGAATTCAAACTAGAGACTACCGTAAGCAGAACACTGAAGCAAACTGCGTGTAGGCCTCCTCTCCTAGGTCTGGATTTGCCTGAAACATTTCAAAACGTCAGATAGCACTACATTTTGCTCAATAGCACTTTGATGCGGGTATTGCTAAACCCCGCAAACCTCCAAAAAAACACCGCAAACCCCATCCAAACTCTGTGATAATAATTGAATCACATAGTATAGGACTCAACTTGGTATCTCAATAAAAAAATCTGATTTTTATGTTCATCCCAACCTATTTTTGGGGTAAAAAGGTCATTTTTTGTATAAAAAAATTGCTAAACCCGGCAAACCCCCCAAAACACAGTGCAAACCCCATCCAAACCCTGTGAAAGTGGTTGAATCATGTAGTATAGGACTCACTTGGTATATAAGTAAAAAAAAATTGTAATGTTCCATTCGTAACAACCTACTTTCTGGATAAAATTCCATTTTTTGTATAAAACATTGCTAAACCCCGCAAACCTCCAAAAAAAACACTGCAAACCCCATCCAAACTCTGTGATAATAATTGAATCACATAGTATAGGACTCAATTTGGTTATCTCAATAAAAAAAAAATCTTAATTTTTGGGGCAAAAAAATGTTTTTTGTATAAAAAAATTGCTAAACCCCACAGAAATTATAAGAAATGTACTACTGTAACTGTAGATTGAAAGAAGGGAAGCAAATGTTTCAGGTGCAAAAGAGAGAGGTGATAATAGTCGATAATCAGGATGTAGAACACATTTTCGTCAGAAAAAAATTTATAAATTTCACAAACTGACTGAAAAAAACTGACCTCAAGGAATTCAAGCAATACAGTATGTAATTTTCAATATTACTAAGTCATGCATTAAGGTTATTAGCAACATCATGGCAGCAGGGTGATATTTTTTTTCATTTTGTAATATTTTATGGCCAAAATAAAATAATATATATCGGTGGATAGTGGGTTCATGAAACAATGTATAAAAATGTTTCACCTAATTGCTGTGTTTCTGTTTCCAAAACCATACTTCTTTAAATTTTGCCTACAGTGTACTCTGCATCACAACCAATCAAGGACAGAGAGACATGTTTTAATCAAGAAGGATTTATTACTGGCTCAGAATTAATCATGACCTCAGCATAAGAGGCACTTAAATGGAACAGCTGAGAAGGAGCCAAGTTCAAAAGTAAAGGTCAGCGAACCAATAATCAATCATTCATCAGACCGTAGGCTCTGAGCGATAGATCAAATTGTACACCGCCACCATGTGTCAACTTATTGATCTTGATGTCTTTAATGAGCCTAATTCTGGCATTAGATTTGGTTTCATCGCGACAAGGGATACTCCTTCGACTTAAGACATCCAGATCGATACAAGGACATTCCCGACAGATCCAAATTACGTACTTACCGCTTATAATGCATTCCATCGTTTTCTCACCGCTAAAATGATTATACAAATTTAAGGTTCTGCCCTGCCAGCAAGTTATCTAAAATCCATTTTATCAAGCACTACTCAATAGAAATTGGTGAATTGAACTAAATCTTTAAATCATTGAGATAAGTTAGTGTAAACAGGCATAATTTAAAAACAATCTATGGATGTATGGTTAAAAGACAGTAATATTAAACAAAATAACTGTAATGATAAATTAAGACTTAAGAGATTCTTTCAATCTCATCTAATTAATTAATATTTCAAAAATTCTCTTAATGTCGAATGATATTGAAAGCATTGCGAAAAATACACTCTAAAAGACAACAAGGATGTTCCATCCAGGACCTTTCCATTTCAACCATCAGGTATAATTAAGTAAAAAATTTGTTATTCTAGTTATGGACAAAATGGAACAGGTGCAAACAGATCTATCTAAAATCTAAGCCACGTTATAACAAACCAATCAATACTAGAATATCGCTTTGAAGCTTGGCTTGAACTACTATAGTCTTCGGATTTCCCAACCTTCTTAAAATTTAAGTTTCGATCACAGGCTTGGAAGAAAATGTTGTGCCTCCGACCAAGAAAATTATCTTTATAAACACCCCCAGGAGATGTACACTATTCCCGTAGTCCAAATTGGTTGTTTGGAGACAAAAAACGGAGGGGAAAAACAAAATCACGTTTTTTTCTAAAAAAATGCCTCAAGGGGAAACGCGGCATGCCTCTTACTGTACCCTTGCCCATGTGGCCTTGTTTATTTGATATTTTGCAGTTTGATTCCAGTCCATCCTTTATTTGGGATCCTTTTAATGAAAAAACAGATTGAGTAACTATCTACAGTCAATCGACCGATGATCGATGACTGTTAAATAACAAATTATATAAAGAACATGGATTCATTGAAGAGGAAAATAGGCTAAATTGAGAACCAGAATCCTGGGAAAGTGTGGTCAAGAAATTGGTTTTTGAAATCATATCTTGAAGGCCAAGTGGTCACAGATTTTATTGCTTCTTCAAAGCTTGCAATATTTTACGTTATAAAATGTGGTAGAAAGAATATGGTTTGTATGTCAGTCAATTTCATATTTTCCTATGGTATGTGGAATATGTTTCTTCCAGATAATGAATGACTCAACAATTACTATTGAGTAACATAAATCATGTTCTAGTGTACCAATACATCTTCACAAAGGTTAAAGGTTACCGCGAAGAACAGATCTACAGTACAGTACTTCTAATTAGGTTTGAGCTACATAATCGCCAGAGAAAAATAGTTGAACATTAAAAATTCAAATACCAGCTTAGCTATACTTAGCTGCTTTTTTGTAATCAATATATAACATCGACAGATTCGTAAGGGTCTAGATGAATATAGAGGTGTCCAATTATGTTCTTTATCAGGCGAAGGTGAAAAACATAACAGTACGACGTGATGAGGGGGAGAACAAATAAATAGTACTGTAGAGCGAACAACATCAAAGGACAGTCGTAGGGCTATTTTTAGTTTTATTATATTTCATATTTGACATCCTCATAGATAAATATCTCAAGAGTTTTTGCACAAGTAATAGACTAGAATTTTGATTTTAAGACCAAAGAATTAATTAAATGCACTTTTAATATAAAAAATAATGTTTGGTGCATCTGAGGTAACAAACTAATCTGGCATCTACAGTCCAACAAATTTAGAAAGGTTGACAGTAGTTATTAATTGTTCTGGTACAATTTCTCAATATTGCTAATCTACCATTGTCAGTAATCAAGAGTTGCTGCCTAAAATCTGTGGTGATCTATTTTCTGTGCCTTTCATAGCAAATGACAAAAGTTATCATTGTTGCATGAAACTTACAGTACTTTACATTGGTTACAGCTATGTCATACCCATGAAAGCCATATCTCTATGAGCTACTTAAATATTCAAATTCAATAAAATGTATGGTTTGCTGACTTTTACTATTTAAGTGTTTAACACTAACAACTAAATACTTCACTACAGTAGATATTTAAAATATTCTGTTTCTTTCTAAAAACTTGAATGAATGAATGAATCAATCAATCATGATATACTATAGATATTAACTTCCCATTGTGCAATGCTACTGTAGGCTAGCCTACTACAGTACTCTTCTACAAGTCTCAAATTCTCTCTGCCTACAAACGTTTTCAGATATTCACTTTTAAAGTCCCCTCTACTAATTTTCTCGGGTTTCAATTTCCTCCTCTCTTTCGCCAGAATGTGACTGAACTATCTACAGTACCACATTTCGATCTACTACTTGAAATATTTAACATCTCATCCCTAAGAGTAGTGTATTTCAACAGACCTTGATAATGTAAGTCTCATAACCTTTAACATTGGCTGAGCAGTTTCCATAATTATTACTCACCACATTTTTAAATGACCTTATGAATCTGAGTGTCTTGCATCACCTCATTTTATTACCCATCATTATTAATATATAGAGACAGTTAATAAAGATGTGTTTACCTCGAATGGTGAAATGGTATATATTAACAATCTCTTTATTAGTCTGACCTGAATACAAAATATTCCAAATAATATTTCATTACTGGTAAAGAGCTTAACAGATAATCAATATCAAATTTTTGCTGTACAGTAATTGCAGTTACATTTAAAAGCGCTTGCCTTCTAATAGCAGGTTCTGGGTTCAAATACTGACTAATTCTCACAGCCTTGACGCCTTAACCTCATTATGTCATCTCCGAAACCAATTTGCAGGGGCCTATGGTTCAAGGAAGCAGGATTTGGGAGGGGGATGTCACTCGCTAGTGGGTTCCAGATTACAGGAACTTTAGAGGTAAAGCCATTATGTTGTAATCTCTTATCTAAATATTTTTAAACTTGGTTAGAGTTTGTTTAGCTGCTGCTGGGAGAACACCACCTCTTTCAGCACCCACTGATCTGTCACTGTGTAGAACAATTACCCTTAAAACATTTAAACTTTCTCAAAATCATTGAACTATCAATAATTTCATGAAAAACCCTTGAGGACAAAAGATACAATAGCACCTTGACATCATTTCATAATTATGCATGCTTGATCTGAAGTAATCGGTTCAGGTGTTTGGATGTTACAATGTAAACATGCTGGTAGGTAGACTGTTTTATTAAGTTTCATTACCAAGGCTAGAGCAGTTAGTCAACATAAACATACTCTTGCCTGTGTATTGTACGTAAAAAGTATTTTAAAAAATCATTTTATAATAGCCTGTTCTTTACCCATAGGTCTATGGTAGTGGTACCTCCTAAATCTTTACTAACCCTTAATTCCGCTTCTCAACTACTCCATTTCACATGCAACCAGTGTCAACATTTTAATAATAATAATGTTATAGATGCCAAAATTACAGTAATAAGAAACCTATTAAATCAACAATCTTACCTGGTTTAACTGTCTTCAGGTGAAATGGTTTGTCCGTGATCTGTTTCAGCATTGGCTCTACATCCCATAATGTACACCCAGAAACTTTACTGCCGTTAACCTGCAACAGTATCTCATCCGAATGTAATTTCCCACTCCGAATAAGCAGTTTCTCGTGTTTTATATCTCCAAGGTAAAGAAACTGGCCATTTTCTGCACCACCTTTGCAATGGAACAGTGGATTGCCGTTTGCCGCGCTGGAAAGCACACATTCATGAACGTTCTGCGACCAATGTTTTGGGGGCTTGCTTCCTTTTCTTGTCTGATCCTTTGTCATTATTGAACCCAGACTGTCAGTAATAACTTAATTACAAACAACATCTGTAACATATAAGAAAATAAACAAAATTATCAGATACTGTACGTAGCAGTTTTATTTACTCTACCCATTGACTTCTGACAGTCAAGCAAGGGTGGGTATAAAAATGGATTGAAGGGCAAAGTGAATATTTAATTTAACACCGAGCAGGCCTGGCAAAAACAGGTTTGTGGTTCTGACCATGAAAGTTGTCTTGATAAGATGCCACCAGCACCAAATGTTATTTGTACAGTATATATAGCCCAACAAGTTTATATTTTCAATTTTTTTTCCCCAAAATGCCTCCTGGACATTCATGTTGCCTCTAACCCTGACAAAGAGCTAAGGCTGCACACAAATATCTCCAGTGGGCATGCAAAACATTTATCACTGTTTAACTAAGTTCAACTTTTTAGTATTTAAGTTTCACTGATGATAAAGCAACCTAATTTTCTAGTCAAAGATGGCAGATGCATATAGTACTTAAGATTTTCAATATATTTTTTGTGGGCTGCAACAAAATTACAATCAGGAAAATATATTATGAATGCATTATTAGCAGATCTGCCTCTTCTTTTCTTTTGTTCTGTAGCCCCAAACTGGTGGAGCCACTTTACGCTACTCATCCTAGTACAGTAGTATAGCTTCGGATAGAAGCTTCAAGAGGATTAAACTGGTGGTTGATGGTCTATCAGTACGATGGCATGCGCAAAGGGATGGTGTAGATTAGGCGAATTATAAAGAGTATCAATAGCTAAATGTATGTACAATTGAAATTAATACTTATCTACTAGTAGGTAAGCCTAGACTCGGATTTTAATGGGATCTCCTTCAGACACATTGACTGATGTTTAACAGCACAACTGCTGGGTTTGACTAGGTTTGTAAGCCTAGGTTTCAGCCATATAATATTCCTGTCATGGAATGGCAAATATCAATTACCAAGTAGGCTAGGGCCTAGGCTAGGCCTAGTAGTACTATGCCTAGGCCTACATCAACAGTGATTATTATTAATGAATAGAGCCCTAGGCTAGGCTTCAATACTTCCTGGCCTTCTTTTTTTATTTTAGGCCTAGGCCTATGCCTAGCCAAGACTTGACCCTAGCCTAGTAGTAGGCTAGGCTAATACTAGTATAGCCTAGGGCTGGCCTAGCTAGGAATTGAAAGATTGCTCACAGAACACATATTAATAAAAATTATCTTGAATATTTCTTGCACTTAATCTAGTAGACGGTTTGTTAATGTCACTATGGACATAATTATATAATTGTCTATCTTCCCTGGTGGTTCCAACCTAGACTACTAGGTCCACCGGCTACTATAGGCCTAGGCCTACGCCTGGGATACCATCCATAATCAACAATAGGTCTGTGTGCTGATACAATCAACAAGCCAGCCAAGCCGATTGGCCAAGCCTCCCAAGCTAAGGCCTAATGCCTGCCTAGCAATAGCCTAGCTAGTGTATCGTCAAAAGAATAATTTATTTCAAGTAAACAGGACATTATAATTACTTACCTGATAAAGTATTTTAGATATATCAAAAGTAGACCGCAAATGGTCGCTTACTACTAAAACTAAACAGAAACTTATTCAAATCATCCACTTAAAAGTCCCAAACATGTCCGAATATAAACTCCCGCTTGGACGCATGCGCAATACATTACAATAAATATGGAAAATAATAACAGAACTGTCCTGATGGAAATCAAAGGAAAAGATTATGGGGTGGTCGCACAACTGGAATAGGCACAGTGTATTCTGGCTGAAAATTGTATATCATTCTGATTTACATAGAATCATTAATAAATTACTTTATTTGATAAAATATTCAGGAAATGATGACTGAAAAGCATAATATAACAGCGTTAGCCTACTACACACTACTGTAGTCACAACAGTTTAGTAGCGCATTAGCTGGGCAGAAGTAATTCGGTAGTTCAATAGTAGAATGAGATTATAGATGGCGCTATTACATTTTTATTATTCATCATAAAGTCTCTTGATCATGCGATACAAAACAAATATTATATGCATGTCGCCATTATTAGTAGCATTTCGCCAAAATATTAATCAAACAAACACGCGTGCCAAAACCTACAGTAGATGTTTGTACTTTGGTTATTTTCCCTATACATATTGTTTACCAATGAGGAGCCCATAATAATGTAAGATAGTATAATACATACTCCATGTATCGAAATGCACGCCATCGTTTCGGGATTCAATATTTCGACATTAATTATATCATCCTCAGAAATGAAATGAAAAATTATCCATATTTGCAAGCTCATGCGCTGCACAAGTACCAAAAGTGTTCGACCAATCAAAACATTACCTCTGACATAGCTATGATTAAACTAAAGATCAAAGCATCCTTGCCCTACTGATCAAAGTTACCTACAAAAACAAAGAAAGCTCCTTTGAAACTTTCAGCCCATTGTTAAACAATGGGTGCAGCCTACGTATAGCAAACGCTTCTTTAAACAATAGTATAGACCAATCTTGCGAACTGTCAATAGTATTAGAAAATATTAAACTTAATTCGGTACGATAGCAGTCAACTGGAGGTCGTGGGTTCGATTCCCACCCGAACCATTTTTCTATATCTAATTTGAATACTTTTAAAACCTATTTTTAACATGATTTTTAAAAATAAAATGGACTTAAAATAAATTCATTCATAACAATTATTTCGAATATTTATTAAGAACATAAGATATATTTATTAATAACAATTATTTTGAATATTTAAGTTTTTCCTTACTTTTGACACCATGGCTATGCGTAATATTGACCCACAGCTGTATATATTCGTATTATGTTTTAAGGTAGTCTCGACTGACTAGTAATTGATGTGGTACAAAGGTTTATTGCATTTATAGCTTTGGGGTCGCGGTGCTTCCTCCCCCGTTTAGTGGACTTACTGAATCAACAGGTAGATAACCTGGAAGTCGTGGGTTCGATTCCCCACACTAACCACTTATTATTATTATTATTATTGGCTAGTATTTGGGGGCGTACTGAGTAATCAGAATATCAGTACCTTTGGAATGTTATATAGACTTGTGAGGGCGTACATCAGTTGTTATGTGTGAGAGATTTTGATCGCAAAACACCATGGAGGAAATAAATGAGCATACCAATACGGTAGGCCTTCGTGGTCTTGCTGTTACTAGGCCTATGACCATCGCAGGCAGGAGCTGTGGATTCGATTCCAGTCAAAGACAATTTTGTACGCAACTTATATTGTGCTTTTTCTTTGACGCTTTAATACGATTATAACATCTTTACCTTTAATATTACAATTTCTTTCATTTTCCTATTTATCTATATCATCAAAGAAACGCAAATACAGTGTTTGAGTAAAGGACATGACAATACATCGTGTAGCATAGCTCTCAACGAATGTTGTCCTATAAATAAATACAGAAATTGTGCAATGGAATTCCTCTGACGGGATTCGAACCTGCGACCTCTCGCTGTCAAGGCGAGCTTCATAACCATTAGACCACAGAGGCTTCATGGTTGAATGTCAGATACACTCTATTACACAATAGGTACGGCTGGAAATAAACAATAGCATATAATATAAATCAATAATATATATACCTGATGATGACCTATGGTCGAAAGTACACAATAATTTTTTTTTAAGACAGATACAGAACTTTGTATGACTTATTATTTTTCATATACATATCCATATCTGTCTATGCAGCAACTTTAAATTTACTTGAATATATATATATATATATATATATATATATATATATATAAATCAAATAGCCGTTAAGACTGTTAAATTATATACATAAATCATCAAAGAAAGGTAAATACAGTGTTCGAACAAAGGACATAATAATACATCGTGTAGCATAGCTCGCAACGAATGTAGTCCTGTAAATAAATGAATAAAGAAATTGTGTAATAAAATGCCTCTGGCGGGACTCCAACCTGCGACCTCTCGCTGTCAAGGCGAGCGTCATAACCATTAGACCACGGAGGCTTCATGGTTGAACAGATTCAAATACCACCAGATACTCTCTATTACACAATAAGTACGGCTAGGAACAAATAATAGCATACACTGAAATATAAATCAAATAGCCGTTAACACTGTTAAATTATATACATAAATCATCAAAGAAAGGTAAATACAGTGTTCGAACAAAGGACATAATAATACATCGTGTAGCATAGCTCGCAACGAATGTAGTCATATATATATATATATTATATATGCTTATCAAATTTGTATCTACCGAGATCCAGCCGTTGTTTCCCACAGCATTGTTGTTTTTCAGTATTTTGCCATTTAATCTATATAATATATATGTATATGATTCATACAAGATAAATACAGTAAAGACATAAATACATCGTGTAGCATAGCTCTCAATGAGTTGCAAGTTTTATACTGTACTATTGTGATGTAAACGGATTATAGGCCAATATTAATAGTTAATACTGTAATACAATAGTGAAATCCGACAGAGATCAAAGCGGTCAAGTATTGAGATAGTGCTTTTCGAGATTAAACAATCCTTAATTAATTAATTAATTAATTAAGCGTATAGTAAAATAATAAGACTTAAACTACACTGTAAGTGAATAATTAGAAAAATCTTAAATTGCAAATGTTAAAATATATGAGTTAGCGAAAGCATATCTGGTAGGTCAATTGTCAACTGAATAGAGATGGTTAAATTAATAGTATGGAAAATTATAATCACTGAGAAAATCTATGTCTATTTTGATGCCTATGGGGTTTTATGATTAAGTATAAGTTTGAGTTCGGTAATGCGCCGATTGTTACGAGATTTTAAGTTATTGGCGAGTACACATCTCAAATCATTGATGTATGGTTAGGAGAATTGAAATGTGTGGCTATCGGAAGGTTCTTGCAGGTGCGGATTGATGATTTGCGATTGTTAAATCAGGGAACAGTGAAATTAAAAACAGTGAAATTCACTGTTCCCTGGTTAAATCTACTCCGGTTTCTCCGATGTATGTGCCATGATCATATGCTACAAATCATGATGAAAATATGTTTGGAAGAGTTACATGTGAGTTGAAGGGAGGAGGAAAATTTTGTGGCTATTAACTGGGAGTGTGATTGTGTCGTTAGTGATAATTATGTGTGCATATTTGACAGCGAGGCTTATTACATTTTACGTTGCCATATGAAGGAGGTTTAGTGGTGATGCGTGAGTATGTGGAGGGATTTCAAATTGGCTGGCGGTGGCAAGAAGAGGTGGTGTACTAAATAAGTGTTGTATATGGATTTGTCGAGCTGGAGGTGCGAGAAGTCGTCTTTGATCGTATTGGTGACGGTCTTGTTGGAAGGATGGAATTCGAATGCGAGGGGGATGCATTCGGACTGAATTTGAGATTGTAGGCGAGTAAATCAGAACGAGAGTGTGTGGAAGCTTTGTTAATTTGGGATTTAATTAGGACACGGGGATATCCAGCTTTGAGGAAAACCTAATAATTAGACACATGAAGTTCATAGTCAAGAGTGTTAGAACCTAAACGTTTTAGTCGGAGACATGGCTGCATATTATGGATTTTTAAAAAATTAAGTGGGTGATTGCTATTCAAGTTTTTAAAAAGGCGTGGCTATCTGTGGGTTTAGTGTAGAGGGACGTGGTGATTTGGTTGTTATTGTTGAGCGATACTTAAACATCTAAAAATGGATGTGTGAGACTGTTCTAATGTAAACTTTATATGAGAGTGAAATGAGTTTACTTCGACTTCGAATCTTTTAAGTTTGTCAGTGCCATGAGGCCATATTATGAAACTGTCATCTATATATCGGTAGAAGCATAAAGGTTTGGGATTAAGTGATGATAATAGATTGTTTTCAAGTTCTGCCATAAATATGTTAGCGTAATTAGGTGCCATCTTAGTCCCTATTGCTGTGCCTTTTATTTGTATGTAGTGATCGAATAATTAAAGGTAAAATTATTGTGTGTTAAAATAAATTTAGTAATGAATACAATGTCGTTGACTTTCTCCAATGAGAATGAACGTGAAATGAGAAAGGATTTGAGAGCGTGTAATCCTTCGGAATGAGGGATGTTCGAATATAGTGGGCGATACATCCATGGTGACAAGGATGGGATTAGGCTATGTGTTAGGGGAGGTAAATTAAGAATGTTAAAAAAAATGTGTAGAATATTAGCATATAACTAAGGAGGGTAGATATTAATGGTTTAATAATGATATGATCTACATAGCCTGACAAATGCTCGGTGAGGGTATCTATAGTATACAAGAGGAAACTATCGGACTACCAAGGGGGAGGGGGGAGTGGTGATATGGAGGCCAGATGAAGGCCAGAGGACTGGCCGAAAATTTCTTTCGAAAATAAATACAATGTTTTACAGTCTACATGCCTTGTAAATTTTTTGTTTCAACGACTGATATATAATTTGAAGAACACACGTGGATTGTAGATGTGTATAAGAGACAGGTGTATGTGTAAATATATATATATATGTATATATATATAGGATGTGTGTATGTATATATATGTATATAGGATGTGTATATATATTATATAGGCCCTATGTATGTATATAGGCCTATGTGTGTGTATGTATATAAGTGTAAGTGAACGTCTTCATGTGACGTGAGAAAAAAAGTTTAGTTGTTTCACTTATCAGACAAAAAGTTTAGTTGTTTCACTTGCTGCTTTTCGGTTTCGTAGCCACACAACATTAAGAGGAAGTAATCAAATATTAATGAATTTGATCCCGTAGAGATGCTCATCAAAGCTGATGCAGAGCCCATGAATACTTCAGCCCTGTGACTAATGATACGAGACGCGTAGTGAGAATCAAGTTCAGAATAATTGAAAAGTAATGATAGATGTGATAATAAGCTGTCTGGATGCACTCAGAGAAACTGGCGAATCTGACCCAAACTTAGGCTATAAACGATGTTGTGTCGCTTGATTCTTGAAATTAATGAACCATCGAAATTAAGAACAAATGAGAAATATCACATAAAAAAAAAACTGGAAATGATACTAAAGTAGAAATGTGCTTGTAGATGCAAACCAGAATTGATCCAATTCGTTGAACTATTCTGATGTGCAAGAAGGCACATCGAGAAAAGGTTCAAAACAAAGGTATACGTACCGGTATATAGTGTATGCCTGCGCAGAAGTGCGTACTTTTTATTATGTATAAAGGGAGAGGGTACGACTCACTTGTATACTTAGATCTCGAATACGACTCTATATGGGTAACAAATGATAATCCATGAGATTATGTTGAAGAGCAGCGTACCGAGTTACCCAGTGCGTGAGAATACAAATAGAATAACACGAGGTGATAATCACTATCACATCATACTGCTCTACCTGTGAAGAGTACAATGTCCTTCAGAAATGTGATTAAGCCGTTGGTCACGTTAAATAAACACAGAGTACAGTCTTGGTTACAGCAAGGGATTGCCTCTAATTGCACTGTCTAAATAAACCCCCAGGGGTGGCAATGAATTGTATCTGTCAATGCATGTGGTTGATAATTTTTATGGAAACCAACTGCGTTGTTTGTTGGCCGTGTTATGTTTATACGCGTTTACACTCACTGGGCCATGCGGTTCCAGACTAACCCAGTAGAGGTCCCAAGTAACCTTTAGCTTAGTTTCCAGCCATAAACTCGTTACAAGCTTTCTGCTAGGTTTCCAAAGAATCGCTACACGCCATCGCGACAGCTTTCGGTGATGCTGATTGGTCGGTCGAATCGGGGAGTCTCCCCGATTGCGTTACGGACTACTAGGCATTACTGTACAACGATTGCACTGAAAATACTGTAGCGACAGTGTGTAGCGATTTTAGGAAAACCAAACTTTCCCTGACAGCTTCCGTCCTATATCGGCGACGCTGATTGGTCGGCAGAATCAATGTCTTCAAAACCAGACTCACACTTCCCTAGATTCTAAGTGTAGATTCCGTGGACTCTTTACAGTGTGAAAAAATACCTCTAAATCGGTGTAAAAACTTGAATCAGAAGCATTGTGCTGAAGTGAACCTAGATGGGTAGAATCTGTTAAAATACCCAGGTATTCATGGTCTAGTAGTATGGGGCTCGTCGCATGTGTGATGTCGCAGGTTCAAATCCTGGTCGAGATATTATTTTTACACAATGGATAAGGAACTTAACAATGAGGAACAAGAACAAGTTAATGATGAAGGATTCTGTCATAATGCAAAAAACATTTACAAAGAAGAGCAATATAAACTGAACAGTGGCAGATTCAAAAGGGAAGGGAGTGGGGAGCCAGCCAAGTCCCCTTCAATTTTTCAAATTATTATTTTTCTTACCTCAGTCCCAACCATGATGGGGCTGTGGATATGTAGGGTTAGAGTTAGGGTTAGGATTAGGGAGATCCTCCATCAGTGAAAGTCCCTCCCTGGTCCCCTCTATTTCGAATTTCTGGATCCGCCACTGCTGAAAAAAATTGAAATTTGTTGGAAAGAAATGTCGCAAATACAGAAATAAAATCACTTTGACGGTGCCTGAAGAAAATTATATTTAGTTTTAATGCAAATAATTTTCTCATCATTAAAAAACATAATGTTATGAATATAATTATTTATAACTACTAAAATCCAGATTTTAGCTAACATCAATAGAACATAAATATTTAATGATCTAAACCCCATGAGATAATTTTTACCTCTAATATTAAACTATGAGTGAACTTTCTTAGTGTTTAAATACAAAGGAATATTATTGGATAAAACCACCATATTGATCATGATTTTTAACAGAATTCTAAAATCAAAACAATAACATACAATAGTTACTTTATTTTTAAAAATAACAATAATAGTAATAATAATGTTGATAATGTAATGGTAAAAACCGTAGTAGTAATAATACTAATAGCAATAATAGTAATAATTTGTAATAATTATAATAAAAATATGTTAAATAATGATATTACCACTAGAAAAAATACTGAATAAAATAATAAAATAAATTAAAAAAATTAATATTTCAGAGTAATATGAATTGTATAGTAAAATGTAATAATAATAATAATAATAGAAATGCAATAAATTCAACAAATAATTATATAATATGCTGTAGATATATTAATTATAACAGCATACACTGTTGTATATTTTGTTCGTCTGTGTAGAAAACAACAAAAAGCATAGAAAGTTGCTTTTGACAGTAAAATTTGAAGTAAAATGCTCGTGTTTGCTTTATTAACAATGGAGCAACGTCACAAACATGCAGGTTAATGGTATGGTAATATCAAATAAATACATTCTCAATGCAATATTACTCGACTGTTAACCAGCATGCCATGGCATATTGTAATATAAACACATTATGTAATATGACGTGCAGCTTTACGGTACAGTATCCAAATATTATATTCTAGCACAATTTTTTATTTGAATAAGCTAATTTATAAACAATTTATAATAGCATAATTTATAAACAAAATATTAGATATGACCAATGTCACACTGAAGATGAATGTATAAATACCAAGGTTATACAAGGTACACCAACATTTCACCTATAATTCACCTACGATTTCAGTAACTGCATTATGACGTTCGGTACTATACACAAGACGAATCATACAATTAACAGGGATTTTTTTAATGTGTGATGACCTGAGCGACATTAGCTAGCAAAATATGTTGATATGAGGTAATTTTTAACTACTAGAGTGCAGATGATTTGCTCAGCAAATTTCTGGTGGGGGTGGGGGAGGGGAGCCCTATGGGAGCAAGCTTTTTTCTTGGGATTCCCCCATTTCCCTGCAGATACGCCACTGACAAAGAAGGGGGGACATTTTTGATTACAACCTTATTTGATGATGACACCATTCTTTATTTTTGTCTTGCCTTTATATTGACCTGCCCACCTGTATGAATCATATCCTCTGTTAATATTAGATTGTTTCATTCTTTCTCTCGGTATCTTTAGAATTCTGTCTCACAAGAATCTCATGTTTTATTTTCTTTTTGTTGTCTCGTGAGGCAGAATGCTCATGGTGTGCACCTACGTGAAGCAAAAGGCTTGCTCGTAGTTGACCTAATTACTAGACTGGCCAATTATAAATGTTTGTTTATAATAGATCGAGGTGGGCTAAAACATGGGTAAGCATTTTTCTCATCATATTAAAGCAAACTGTTGAGCACACTTGCTGAGCAAGTATATATATATTTGAGTGTATTTTTGTTTAGTTTGGTCCTGTGCTGAAAAACTTCAAGCTATGATCCGTCAGTTTCTACATTTTTTACTTAAAAATTAATGAAAATTATAAGATACATTCTATCAGAATGTAAGTAAATTTAGAAAGTATTATTCCTTATCTTTATTTATATTTAAAGAGGAAGCCCCAATCGCCAGAGCTGACTTCCAAGGCCCAATATTGACATATGTTGAAAGTAATTTTGAGTTTGTAGTTATTGTTAACAGTACATCTTTTATATGAATTTAGAGAAACTTTAACCTACAATTAAGTATTTTGACATAATCAAGAGAATGATGAGAAAATAAATGTTGAGCACAATTCTAAAGCAATGCACAGTTTTTAAAGAATCAGAAAATCTATCTTAGTTTAAAAGTCTCCAATATTTTAGCAACATTTTCATGCATAAAAGGCAACATTATACGAAGCTCCATCTACATTTACTGATCATGTTTTATATGACAAATAACTGTGACTTGACCATATATGGCATGATGATGTCATTTCATGCCCACATATAGGCAAGTCACAAGCATTTGTTAAATAAATCTTGATAGCGTAGATAGGTTTTAACAGACTTTACATCCCATCATCTCCCACATGCTATGTTTTCAACATGTCAAAAAAAGCTTTGGCAATAGTTACACCAGTCTTGCATTTGACTGTCCTTATCCAATCCATACATTCAATAACATCCAATCAGATTACATTTAAGACTGGTGTAATAATATGCTAACAGAACATATTTTTTTTTAAGTACTTGCACGATTCCGAACAAATACATACATGACAAATCACTTACTGTATTTTATGCAAGATTAACAACACATTTACTCCAGGTTCATGCCAAATTGACAGCGAAATTTTAAAATATGAAATCTACAAAAGGTAGGACTAGACCTCTGTGAAAGCTGAAGTAACTATGCAGCCAATGGTCAATTTTATGTAAGGCCTAAAAAAATTGTGAAACCCAAGCACATGCCTAACCCTCACCTCTTGCGTTTTAATTCAAAAAATGTTAACAGGGCTAAAATTCATAGTTAATGTATAAAATATATTGATTAAAGCTCGAAAGTGTTTGAACCATCACATTTAAGTATAATATTAGGAACATTGGTAAAAGAATAACATATTTTTGCAATAAAAAAAATGCAACCCTAGATTTTGAAGATCATGGGTTAGTTAGGTTTGGGCGACAAATTTTTTTTTTGGCCTGATGGTTGTGTAAATCTGTGGATGTTTATATTGAGACTTTGCAGATATTTCAGTCCACGATGACTGACTTTTAATGGCACCATACAGGATCTAAAGGCCTATAGTAGTAGAAGTACTGTTGTATGAAAGAGTGATTGAGTTGATTAAGCTTTTCAAACACTTAATGCTTATGCAATTACCTTGTAAACCTATATATCATTGTCATTACATTTAAGCTAAACATTGTCTGCATTATCTCTTGCAGCTTCACCCTCTTCTGGTTCCTCCACTTGGCTGGCATTAAGTTCCTCAAAAGAGCTTGCACTATCCCCTGCAGAGCTGCCATCACTGCCGTCACTGCCATCCAGGGCACTATTCCCTTCATCTGGTGATTCTTCTGATGATAAATCAGCACCTTCTTTCTTAGGTTTCTCTTTAGCTTCAGGAACAATAAATTCATCTTGCTTCGCCAATGGAGCCATAAAATACATTAAATCTTTGCCGTATATTTCAAATAATGGATGGGCAGAAAGACCATTGTCCTAAAAGACAAAACAAATATCAAAATATAATGCATGTTATTTCAGATGTCTCAACTCCATTTAAATAACTGTGTGCCAATATATAAGCTAAACAATTTTATGTACGTCCGTTAAGCTGGGCACTTACTGCGCCCGATGCGATTCTATGGAGATTCTATGGTTTTTAATGATGTCGCCTCACCTAGCGCTTGTAGAAAACAGAGTTTGAGTCGTTGTACGACCATCGTACTGAGCAGTGGGTGCCCGGCTCTACTGACAGTGACAGTATTGCTACTGTAGATACGCACTTTTTAGCCAAGGGTAGCATTTACAGATCAGTTATCAACGGGAGATTTTTGTTTTGCTTTTCCACGATGTATAATGTCCTATAAGGCTTTTTGTTTATATATATAGTCTAAATTACATTTCTGTACAATTTTCTATTTCCGTTCACTTGGTTTTAGCCCAGAACACTGAATGGATTCAAATTGTAACTGTAATTCAATGTTTTCAGCACAGGTTTTACGAAAGTAGAGTACAAATGATTTCCCATGTGCAAACTCCTTATAAGACCTAAATGCGAAAATAATTATGCAATTTATTTTTGTTTACTTTAAGTCATATTAGATACTGTATATTGCCAGCAATCTATCACAAGATAGCCAGTTTAAAGTATATTGTTATAATAATATGTATTAGTTCCTCGGATATAAGCCCGCCCTCTACTGATTGCAGACCAGTATTTATCTAGGCAAAAGCCCAGTGTATGTTTTGAACAAAGATATTAGAGGTGTCTTAAATTTGAAGAATCCTTATTATATTATTTCAATTACAGTTTTATAAATTATTATTGTATTTGATATAATTCCTCACATGAATATTCAAGACAGATAGAAATTGTACATGAAATTAAAGACAGTTAAATCCAGCAGATAGAATTTAGAAAAAACAAACAAACTGATTTTTTTTCCAACCATGTGGGATTATAAAAAACAATAAAGGAAGATTTAGATGGTTACAACTAATTGAGATGAGTTAAATGAAGGTAGCGAGAGGGATGCTAACGTTGATTAGAGTGAGAAGGAATTGGTCATTTCTCTGGAACAATAACAATCACTATCTCAATTTCAGTTGATGAATACCCCTCTCAAAGAAAAAAACTTATTTTGATATTCAGTAGCTTACAACAGGCAATTCTTATTTGTAGCTTGAAGAATATCATCAGTTGATGAGACAGCACATATGCTGGTGAACTTTAACATGAAACTTAATTAATGGAATGATGTATTCTGTACATGCCATTCGCATCCTTTTTAACATGTGGTTCTCCATTTCAGAAATTTTCAGTGTTAATTTTGTTAAATGGAGAGCGATATCGCAAAATAGATCTAAGCCAAGGCCGCGGTTTATGTTGCAAGTTACTATAATATATTATGTATTCAAGGGGAAAGACAATAGATTTTAATTTTATGAGGAGGGGATGGGGGCAGCTGTAGTGCCCCAGTCAGAAAAAATGATAAATGGTGAGCTTTAGAATAAAGCTATTTATAACAAAATTTAACATAAATGATGAAATTCATATTATTTGCATGTCATTTGCATAATTTGCAATATATCATTGACGAGAGATGATGTTTTACATCACAAAACAGATAAATGTTAAACTTTAAAATGAAACTTTGTTAAACATAATAAAATTTTACATCAGTGATGCAATTTATACGATTTACATGCAACCTTTTGTAACATCTCATTCTATAAATAATTTTTGATTAATTTTTTTTTACAATACGTGACTCAAAGAAAACTAGTACTGGTTTTACTATGCTTTAAATAAATAACCCATCGACAGAGATTATAAGTGGCTTTTCCATCTCCCATGTTGGTTTTAAAACTCAACACGATGATTACAGTAAACCATATATTGATCATTCTATAAAACATGCATAATTAGAATTCTACTAAATGTTGATAAGAATTTAAAGCAACATGTTGGAGCAAGCTCTCACGGATCAAGAGAGGGACACAGGAGCACATTCCAACTCGAAATACAAATACCAAATTTATCAATAAAATTATTTAATAAAATGAATTAAAAGCACACTCCCTTGTTCCCACAGTTAAAAAAAATCCTGGATACGCCTTTGGTAGGTTATTTTAACCTGATCCTTTAAAAATGTCAATGACCAGAATGCTATAACCTGAATCTCAATGCTACTACGGTGCAGAAACATGTATACCCTTTAAAAGATTATCATAAAGAATACATGTAATAATGACGGTGGACTTAATGGCGCATATTATAGTGGCCAATGTTACTACTGGTCTTTAAATATGTTATGTCCACATAGACTCTCGCACTTAACAGTACTACTGTATCACGCTAGGCATGATGCTCAAACTGTTCCACTCCCTAACAAGGCTCTTATTCGTGCAACTAGCAATATCAACAAATCAAATTCAAACAAGAAATTTGTATTCCACCAGCTACACATCTATACAGCACTACTAGGTGCAGACAAGCGTTGGTAGTACCTTTCCCAAGGACAAAAAAAATGTGATCAGCCAGATGCTCGAACTTACACCTTTCTAAATCATTACTACAGTGCAAAATAATTATCTGAGAAAATATGTTGTCTATCCAGCATCTTCATAAAGAATAATAAGTATACTCACCTTCAAACTATTTCTTTGGCCTCGGATGATGGGGTCAATATTTCCCTTGAACCTCCCCCACCCCCACACCTGCTAGCGCCACAACTAATCAAACTATGACTGTTTAAAATGTAAACCACCAACCATTTTTGGAGTTCTGTTCTGACACCCTGTTCTATTTTGTTGTAATGTACCCAGTACGGTACTTATTTTGGTCAAAAGGACTGGACAGAAATTTATACTTGTGGTGAAATGTAAGGGAAGTCACCCTTGGACTGGACAGAATTTTATACTTGTGGTGAAATGTAAGGGAAGTCACCCTTGGGCCGAGTCTGAACACAGCATACAAGTCTTAAAAAAAGAATCATTATGTGCATATGCGCTTTGCATCATTAACTTGGCCATTGAAAAACCCAATACTGTACTGTAATGATATCCCTGAGAATTCCATAATGGTTATTTTTTTAATTGAGCAAAGCACTGTGCTATGAAGAGACATTGTGAATTAGGGCAGTTTAACTCAGTTGCCCAAGAGTAAAAATGGTATTCTGAATGTCAGACGTAATTTGGCTTTCGTTGCGATAGTTCAGGCTTTCATTTCAGTAATTATGGGTTCATTATGGTAACTGGTTTTTATTTAGTTTATTACTTTAAGATCATGAAGAATTATATTACCTCTATATAACTGGAGAATGCTGGGTAGACCCGCTGAATTGCTATGGTGACCGACAAGAAACTGGTGTTTGGAAAAGTGGTATAGACCATGTTAGTTACTTCTGGAAAGCTGTAGAAACTGTATCCATATGATAGGAGCTTCTCTTTCAACTCCTTGTCTGGTTCTTCATCTCCTTCACTCAGGATCACACCAACAATGTATCGCAGCTTATCTGAGGGCACCTGTTCAAAAAAAAAAAAAATCAATGGAAGATTTTACGAGATTGAGCTGAGTGGTTGTTTTTCTGCTTTAATTGGAGTCTGATTATTCAGCTGCTTGAATAACTACGTGTGAAAGTTAGGCGGGATATTGGAGGAGGCAATCCACATGTGAAAGTTAGGCGGGGGGATATTGGAGGAGGCAATCCTTCCATTATTTGTTGGCTCTGGTGCTTCACTGTGGCTGCCTACGGCACCCTGCCAAAATTTAAACCTAAGATCAATGTCGAGGAGGGTAAATTACATTACATGTGACTTGTAACAAAATCATGCATCATTAAATGATGGTGTTTAAACATTGTAAATTTGCGACCTGCTTTTTGTGCAAATTGTCGGTAAAAATAAAAAAGTTCTGGTGGTTGTTCAGAGTACTGTACAGTGTAAGTCTTTGTTTGCTTAATAATGAACATTTAATTTCCTTTTTTATTTTTTGTACAATACTAACAGCATATAATCATTTGATAACAGCTGGTATAGCTATATACTTAGAGTACATCATTTAAAAATATTACATTTAGAAACCTAAAGTCTGATATTAATAATGTAGGTTTTTGATTGTTCTCACTTAAAAAAGTAAGATTATATTACATTGATATGTAAAAATTGTTAATAAGTATTTTAACATACTCTTTCTGGGTTATCATAGTACATTCCAAAGCAGCGATATGTGGATGGAGCGAGTTTACTTATCTCAGTAAAGTGCTCTCCAAGCCCGACAGAGCTGTACTCGCCTCGCCCGAATTTATACCCTACATGTAGCCGACCAACTGGGGGCTTCCCTGCCTTGAATCGTATTGGATTCAGAAGCCCTGAATAAAAAAGAAAAAACAAAACTGTAACACAAAGCAAGAGAAACAGTATGCCAATAGCCCACAAAATAGCAGCAGACATTGTTTCGTTAGATGCAAGATTATGGCAAAATATTAAGTTGCGCAGTTCTAGTAGTACGCTAGGCAAGGCCTAATGTTTACAATCTTAATAGTAAAGTTCAACATTGGGTCAATTAATGGCCCTCTTGTGGTTACAGGTAGAGTAATAGACGTTTCCACCAGACTGCTTTTTTATTTTGATTTTGATTATTTGAACCATATTTATGGTGGGCGACTCAAATACAAATACAAATAAACTTTATTGCGATTTCAGAAAATATACATATACAACATTCGGAGCAAGGTAGGCCTATATAATTCAAGTTTAGGTTTAAGCATAAGCAGAATGTTCTGAGTTATAGAACGGGCGGCAATAGACCGATGAGGGAGCGAAGAAGTAGAGGATAGTTAGGTGCAAGGCCTTTCAGTTAAAGATTCCTCACCATCAAAATAAGGTTAGAAATATTATTTTAATATCTCTATGGTTTGAAGAATTATTAATATTAACATAGACTAACATGTTACACAGTATAAGTGCAGACATTGTTTCCCGAATTTAAGGAACGAAAGCGATGTAGATTTCGAATACTAAGTAATAGGGAATTCCAGTCTCAATTCTGCGACAGAATAAATATTTTTTTAATTCGTTAAATATATGGTTTCTATTGCACAAGAGTCGGAAAATCACACTGTACGTTAAATAACAAATCAATAATTTAGGGCATAACCGTAGGATTCTATAGCAAGTTTACGGTTCGTTAAAGTAATTTAAGTCAAGATGTCTGACTCAAGAATTAATTATTAACATAGGCCTAACCGGCGACCTTTCCTTACTCTCTGTTCTTGTATATCACATATGACCATATGTGACTCAATGTATTAAGCAGCTCGATGATAATTTAAATCTTCTAAGAGTGTACAAACGTTACCATATGTATGAAATAGACCACCTTGTATTTGCATCTATTAATTTTGAAGCGTGATAGCACGATTCCAATAAAGGGACATAATGCACTGAATGTGACTTGGATTTCGATATGTTCGACCTATCCTACTAATCGAGGCTAACTAAAGATACGTAACATTATCTATGTACCAACATTCGCTAAATGATATTATAGTAATAAACCTGCGCGTAATGTATACCTGTTCGATACTACAGTAATTAATAAGTGAACGAAAGAAAATACTTCTGAAACTGCCAAACCATGGAGGAAATACGTGGCTTAATTTCATTCCTTTTTGTTAGATTTCAACTGTCACAACGCGTCTATTACATGGACCATTCCGACTGACCAATCAGAACGCTTTATTTAGCCAAGGCTTCGCGCATATCCCATACGCAATTTTACGTACGTGTTCATGTTGTCCTTTTACTGCAGAAATAATAGAAGAGACGAGGCTTAGCAAGAATGGGCTATTGGGCGGATAGAGCACACGAAATCTTTGAAATGGACCTTTCCGCTAAGCCCCGCCCCTTGGATATTGTTGCTAAGGTCCCACAAGGCGACAGTGTTAAAACATAGGCGAACACGTGCGTTAGTGGGAAAACTCGTGTGTTTGTGAGACGCACGCGTATTCCTAGCGCCGTTCTGATTAGTCAGTTGTTAAGTTTGATTGACACTCCGGAAAGGTCTATTTGCGTCTGCATCATATTGTCTAGGACCGTTGATGACGTGTTAGTACACTTCAGAATTCAGTTCGGAAAATTTGAATATGATAATAATATAACTTTACATCATGCTTTATTTAAATGTATTAAAATAAACTCATGAGTATGACATACCATTCATTTGTATCTATAACCATGGAGGTATTATTGAGAAGGAGATCACTCGGCAACAGATCCCTTTGACGCGACAAACCTATGTGTTCCCCGCTTTTGGATCACGCGCGGGCGTATTACCCTGTAATTCACATTTTTCGTTAGCAACAACTTGGCAACGACATGCATTTATACGCTTCCAGCTGAGCAGTTGTGCAATAAAACGTTTGATTTTAACCCATTAAATATCTTTATAATGAACAATGTTCCCCTGATTAGATTTTTTCGGGCTTTTGGTATGTTATTATTTGTATATTTCAGGAACGGATTCCGTAAAATATTTATGTTAAAATTACTTCTGTGTTCATTATAATTTTGTCTAAATATTGACTGGTTCGACTATAAAGCTAAGTCAGCGTAGAACTGAAAAATACTCAGATTTTGGATTCATTTTTCGAATAGTTAACCCTCGTTAACCCTAAAATGCGTTAGTTTATTATAATCCTTAATTATTTATTAATTAATATCTGTTAAAATTAGAATTGGCGAATTTTGGCCAATTTATGAAAATTGAAGTTGAAATATACTATACTTTTATAGGTCATGTAAATGTTCCATTAAATTCGAAACTTTTCTTGGTGGAAAATATTAATATGTTTGATATTTTATGAGAGATAAATATAAAATATTTATAATTGAAAAGATTGCGCAGCCATAGTGATTGACGGTATGTAGTGCGCATTGAGAAAAGAAGGTGCTCTCCAATTCGTCATGTTCAATTTTTTGGTCAACTATGCCTGTTGAAAATTTGATGGCGGGGAACACATGGGACTTCAAAGGCATCGCGCAAACGTTCTTTACGCGCTGCGGCAACTTTGATCTTGGTTCGTTTGCATAGCGCTGCGTGCGCGTAGCTTTGCCGAGTGATCTCCTTCTCAATAATACCTCCATGCTATAACCAATGTTAGGCTAGGTAGTTGGATTATCCATAGATTATTTCGACAAATAGCACCTTTGGGTCACTATTTTCCATCATTGCCCTCAAAATTATACAATAATTGTTATATGAATAAATTTTACGTAATATATTATTGAATTTTTGTTAATATTATTTTTTACATTACTGGTATTTGTCAAATTCCAAATAAACTTCTCTCCAACAGTATGCATGATTTGATTTTCCGAGCCGATGTTATACCGTATTTTAATAAAGTTTAATTTAAACAGCGCCACCTCAATTGCAATCTTGGGAATTCAGTAGCTTTATTCTATGTACATTATATAACCAACGCAGTCGTCTGCAAACGACAGTTATTAACGGTTGTTATAAGAATACTGTGATGATGAGCATCCTACACAGATCTCTCTACTCAAGCGTGTTTAAATTTACGTCGGATTAATAATAATACAAACTATATTTTGGTTCGTGTGAAATTTGGACGTTTGCTTTGGAACAACGTATGGTAAGCTTCTGTTTCATAGTATCGTTATTATCTTCGATCACTGGGTTTAATATATACGCGTTGCATTGAAATGTAATAAACAAACAGCTTCTAGGTATATGTTTAATCGGTTAAGCGCATGTATTCATAACTTATTTACCAATAACGATTAATCTATACCCTGATCGTTCTGACTATAATACAATGTAATGCACAATAAAATTGAGGTGACTCGATGTCTTCTGTTAAAACGCATATCACTGACTCGTGAACAATCAATTGTTCGTGAGAAAATTCTTAATGCTGATTCTAGCCTAGGCTAAGACTATAAATTATTTTTTATTCGTTGGATTGCTTTTAGTCAGCACAATAATCAAAAATTCGTCGGAATTAAGAAATTCTTCACGTGCCATGTTATTTTTTATATCAGTTCAATTGTGGTACATTAATGCTCTGCTGTCATGAACGAAGTTGAATTATCAATACCTAGTAGGATGTAGGCCTACGTTATTTTGGGAACATATCAAAGTTAGAACAATTGAAATATACATCTCTTATTTTGCGATAAAAGATGAAGCAAAACTTAACACTGTAGTTCAGGGGTGGGCATCAAAATCGGTCGGAGATTCAAAGTGAATTTTTGATTTATTTAACACCGGGAGAACCGCACCTGGACATTCGATGTTTCCCAGTGAGCTTTCAAAAACCTTTATTCTTAGTTTTAATTTACTTTTTACAAATGATCGGTGTCGGGCGGTAAAAATCAAAGTGTTTTCTAGCCAATGTTACTTGGCGGGCCCCACACATGGGGTTTTTAATTCATTTTCGAGGGCGCAAAAAAATTGCTGTCCGGCCGCATGCGGCCCGCAGGCTGCACTTTCCCCACCTGTGCTATTATAGATTATAGGTAATAGTTTCTGTAACCATGACAGGCGTCACGCGCATCCGCAATTATGCGTTTCTAACACGCGCCGTGCACGCTCTTCCGATTTGTGCACACAATACATAATTAATGCATACCATATTATTCATTTCTACCACATTCATAATATACATATTTTTTGTCATTAACAATATTTACCCGTTTATAAAGCCTCATTAGTTCGTCGCACAGGGACTTTTTGGAAACAGATAATTTCATGCTTTATTTGCAATGACTTCAAAATAACTGTATATTATTACTTTCATTACTAATCGAAAATTAGAAATTAGAATCATGTTTTTGTCATCAACAATGGTTATTGGTTTTCCCACTCGACAGGAAAACGGGTGAATATTGTTGATTTTATCCTATTTGAAAGGCCAATCATTGTTTTTTTTTTTTCGCAACACAGTTACATTTTTGAAACAGACCATTTTTATATGATTTCCTGGTTCATTAACTATGAATTCGGCTTGTGGTTATGTCTACTGTAGCAGATTCAGTGGCATTTCACTATATTCTGTTAAATTACGACATGAACACGGTTATCGGCGAGTTGAAAATCACTATGACTACGATAATGGTGTGTTAGATTGACCTAAGATTCGTCCCTTATAATTATATAGTTATTCCCATTAATATATCTGCTGAAACGTGCTCGTTAGGTATTTTATGTTCCGGGGAGAGAAACATTAACTGTTTTACGATCAGTGTCGTATGTTTTCGAATTTATGATGACCACACAAATAGGACGATTATACAACCTTTTAATTTCTCTTAACTTAATTGTGCGTCTTGAAAACTTTACCAAATGATACCCTCACTTCATACTGGCCATAAACACAGATTACACCGCGTTACACGAGAATGAAAATCTATCATGCTGATCGATCGAAGCAAACAGCAACGTGTTTGGAGTTTTGTAAGTTGTTATGAAAGCGAATAGATAAAAAAAGTGCGCGTGCGTGTGTGGATGTGTGTTTGTGTGGATAAGTTGCATTCACATCAAACTTTTGGATCGGAAAGCCTACCGTATACTACCGAACCTATCATAAAATCACATCAGTGAGTAAGTATAGGAGTTCAGCGCTTCGGAAACGTCCGGGTCCGAATTTCGTTTCGGATCAGATATGCCTATGAATGCAGCTTAAAAATACTATAAAGTGTGCGTGGTTTGTGCAAAACCATACAAAAATAAAAGTGACAGATTCACAAACTGACATTTGCAATATGCTCTGTGGCTTCATTTGGTTTATAACTGTTTATGTCTGTCAGATCGGTCAGATTGGCCAAGAACTGTTCCACACCCTTACTTGTATAAACATTTCAGTAATGAGATGCTCAAACCATCTGAAATTGTTGGCAGCCAGTGGCGGATGGAGGAATTCGAAATAGAGGGGGCCCTGGGATCGGTAGCCTACTTTCACAGACGGAGGGTCTGGAAAATGTATGATTATGGCACATCTAGATGGCCGGAAATGACATTCTCAGACATAAATATAATTATCATCTTCCCTTTTTTCTCCATTTTATAAAAATAATTTTGAAATATTTTTTAAATATTTAGGAAGGGGCCTGGATCCGCCACTGGACAACGTCGGCACGACTGATCGATGCTGACCGACAAAAAAAAAAACGGTCATCATCTGGTAAGCACTCACACATAATGACCAACCAAGTCATTGACCGACGGTCATTTGACCCTTGTTTGCAAAAGGATTGATTATATACAGTTTGAGTCTACTTGAATAGCATTCAATATTAATGTATTTAGACACAGGCCTATTTACATAGCTAGGCCTGCATGATAACATTGTGTATCATTACTTACCCTTTTCTTCTATTTTCAACGTTTTCAAAAGACGTTGGGAATCTATAATGGTGTGAACTACATTTTATAACATTGTTTACAATATTTTAAACAAATAGTTAGAGAGATCGATGACTCATATTCCATGGGTTATTGCACATGGAATGATACGAAGAAAAGCACCTGCAAGTCATTAATGTAGTGCTACACACAACAGCTACCGTACTAAATAACACTGTCAAACCAACCCCGGAATTTTAGAGTAGGCCTACGGCTCGTCCTTAAATACCGACTTCGTATTTGCTTTTAACATTTTCTTAAAATCCTCAACCGTTTCCAGCACAGTTCGTATTCTTGACCATTACAGATTTCTTCAATATTATGTTTTGATAATTTATAACTCTAGTGATAGATAGCTTGGCCCAGCTTTGAATCTCATCCGCAGCTGTATGCCTTGAGAGTCTCGCGAAGACATTACGACACAACTGAGAACAGATTAATTTGCAAGCACACAAAGCTGCAAGCTGATTGGTCCGTAGTTAAGTTACAAGGTTTTCTCACACAAGTTGGCTGGAGCCCATTCAATCGGGGAAGTACGCTTTATTTTCGCTGCCATTTATTTTCGCGATTTTACAATCTTAAATATTTCGCGACCTTTTATTTTCGCGATTTTACAATTTCCAGTCGTTCTTGTGTCTTGGGGGCATAGACACTATGCTGTCGTCTGTCTAGCAGTTAACCCTAGAAGAGAAACTCCGGTAGAGGTCATGTGTGTAAATCCGGTGGAGGTGCATGATAGTAGGGGGCGCCCGATTAGAAAAAGAATAAAGTTCGGCCTCCACTGATAATTAGGTCAAAGACTACTGTCTTTTCCCCATTTCATCTTCATCATTTCAATAAAAACACTGAACAAGATGTAAAAAATTCTCGTCTAGTCTCGACTACTGAAAGTACAATAAACATCCGTTAAACGTCCATCAAGCTACTGTATCTCCAATGTTATTCAACCCAACAAACAAACGAACACACACACACATTTTGCACCATACACAGATAACTATCTCCTCGAAGAACAAGAAGATTTTAACGTCATTTGCCATTGTCGCAGATTTTTAACAGCAAAGGGAACATCACTACACATTTCCCGATATTCCTGCAGCTACTCCAGGGCAGAACAATGTTTTCCCAAATCGAAATGTTAGCAATCTTGCAGCAAATGTAGGCCTAACATTGAACAAAGTTGACCAAAATGTTTACCAAGAGTTGTAATAGTTAATAGTTATCAATTAATGGGAAATATCCGTATTATAGAAGAAATACAATGCTGTGATTTTTATTCTATAAGGTAGGCCTAAGCTTAGCTAGCACTTTGACTGTGTGTAGTGAAGTGTGATAATGGGCCTCTGAGCGTGCTATAGCTTTCCTTTTGAAGACAAAACTGTCTATGAATTAAGCGATTTTCGCGAAAATTAAGGGCGCGCAAATATAAAGGGGTTCACCGGAATACTTGAATATTTGTAGCGAACATTTGGAAGATCGACCTTGGGAAATCGATTCGAAATATTGATCGGAAAAATTGTTTATTGAAAAACACGTCTACACAACAGAATCACGTGACATGAGAGCGACCATTGCATATTATTATAATAGGCCTACCATATTGTCATGATTATGTTATTACGAACGCCACCATCTCTATGATTATCATCATTATGCTTATTTATGATAACGATGGTGATGATTATGATTATTATTATTATTTAATATTATTAATATTATTATTAGTTGCATTATTATTAATATTATTATTGTTGAATTATTAAAGAAACACCATTTTATTTTTATTTTAATTAAAATGCACTAATAGGCCTATCATAAGTTTTCACAATTTTTTTTTTCTGAGTTGGATCTGTACTAAGTGGTAAAGATACTCGCCCAGGGTCTATGGATCATAGAGTTGAATGTCACGATTTTCTCAGGACTAAAAAAAAAACAATTCCATTTCCTAATTGCTTCTTGACGAAGATTATAAAGCATCGTCTATTTCTACATGATTGGGGGCGTGTAAGTTCTCTTTTGTGTGAAAAGAATAACGAAAAGAAAACGTTGCTACATTGATTCGCTACGCATTTTTACTTCATATAATAGTCAGTCAAGTGTCAATGTTCAATTGATACAGCAACGGAAAGTGAAACTCTATACGCAATATGTACTTGAAAATGTGACATGTAATTTTTTTTTTCAACAAAACGTTTTCTTTATCAATTATCGTTAAAAGGACGCAGTGTA